TTGGTTCAGGGTTTAGGGTTTGGGATATGGGAGTTTCCGAAAATTCGGGGTCGCTTATTTGGAGGTCCTCACAATAAAGATCCTACTATATAAACTCTTTAGGGTATATTAAGGCCCCCTATTTTCGGAAATCCCCTTTTTGCTCATCAAGCTGGAGGATGACATCCCCCCGAAGTCCACGGTTTAGGGTTTAGGGGTTTAGGATTTAGGTTTAGGGTTTAGGGCTTAGGGTTTAGGGTTTAGGATTTAGGGACTTTCATTGTTGAAGTGCTGCAAGACTGCAGGTTGATTGAGCCTTTGAACCAGTTTGGGTCAGGGTACTTTAACCCCAAGTAACCCACCTTTTTAAGGACTTTTATGAAGAAATCATATGAGGGAACCCTAAACAGGCAGGTTCATTAGGGTTCAGGTAGGGTCTATGATCGCGAAAACCGGGTTATTGGGCATCCACGCAGAGAGTAGAGTTCTAAGTACCCTAAATGGAGTTCCCCCAACTATTACCCTACTTATCACCTAACTAAGTCCCCTGCGCCTCTATGTATACCTGTGAGGTCATAACCCACTCAACTTTTCAGCGGGCTGGTTTTAGGATTTCGGGCCCGTCTGTGCGGAAGCAATTTGTTACACAGACTGCACGTAGCAACAGACAGCGTCTGCACGGTGTGACCACTTCAGGCCCTTGGCTTACATAAGGCTGGCTTAGGTAAAAGATGCACTAGTAGTATAGTATCACGGTCTTATACTGCAGTAATTATTTTAGTATCCTTGTCTTACATTACAGCAATCGTTTGTGTATCATACTATTGTATGGTCTCGGTCACAGGTGAGGCTGAGGGGTGTGATGATGTGGCGAGCTAGATGTAAAGGCTCCTTGTCCTGGAGTATACCCAAAGGCCCCATAGTAGTTCCTTTTGGGGGTTCATATACCCCCAGCAAGGAACTACTATGGGGCCTACGGGTAGGGTCTGGGCTTTGGGGCTTTGAGTTTGGAGCATCGAGTACAGGGTCCGGGCTGTATGGTCTGACCGTGTTGTCGATGTCGTCCTCACGCTGCTTGAATCTGATCTGGGAGCTTCTCAGAAACGGACAGGCGCCTGAACTGCTTCGGTCATCCCGACTTCAGTGGGCCAGGCAAAGTGTATATGTATTTGATGTGTATGTCATGACCTGAACTCGTCCCTAAATCCTGAATCCCAAGCCCTACCGAAGCCTACCCGGGGGTAGTGACGTACTCAGAACCCTAATCAGGTTGCTGTATGATAAAGCCAACCTCCGTGCCCAGACAGAATTTCAATGCCAAAAACTTCTCTTTCGCTTGAAACTTATGCAAACAGCGATTCCCAACAGCAGACCGACTTTGATGTTCAGCTCACAGTTGCGACTCAGGCTGGTTCTAAAGGTGCGTTACAACGCCAGCATGCCCAATGCTCTGTGTGACAAATGGTTAGTACCTGGGTTTAGTCACTGGGAGGAAGCGGGGCAGTATATGTTCGCCACGTCCAGAAATGTTTCGTATCCCGAAGGCGTGCAGCTTCGTAACCCTGAATAGGTAACTGCCCTTGAACCGGTTCTAAACCTGTATTCCTCTATGGTGTAATCAACCCGTTCATAAATTGCTCATGGCGGCTTTGTACCAGCTGGTTTAGCCTTTGAGGTATTTCGGGACCTAGGAACCGTAACCCTCGAAGTGCACAGAAATATGTCTTCATAGATAGTCGGTTTTCGCCCGCAGAGTACGTACCTTCGTCTTACGGCCACCGTATCTCAACTCATGGGCCTTGTACAGTTCATTCAGCCCAAGCAACAACACCCATTTCATGCATGCTACTTGAACCCATGCGGCCTCGGACCTTGATCCTTAAACCATGACTTTTCAGCCCTAAACCCTTTACACGACGCCTCATCTGAGAACTTCCCATTTTAAATCTCAAGAGGGCCACAGACTTCCGAACGGAAGCAGGCAAGAATACCGGCTGTGGGCAAGGGGCCGTCTGGAGTTCCGCGTCTAGCGAAGTCCTTACTTTTTTTGGCTTAGGCTTTGTAGAAGGTCTTAAACTTTGTTCCAACCCGAGTTTCAGTAGACAGCGGTGGGCCTTCGACTGGCTTTCTGGTTGGTCGACAACTGTTGCGGCCACGTAGGCCAGAAGGCAACCGGACATAGTAGCTGATGCCCATATAGTCATACAGCAGTTCCTTCTTGGGGTTCTTTTGTAGAATCCTACTGGGTAATCCCAAACAGGAACTACTTTGGGTCTATGGGTACAGTCAACCTTGAATAAGAGCCCAGGCCACGTGGCTGATTGATGGTCGTGGTTTGACAGAGATGGAGGAAAGGTACGGTTGATGATATAAATCCTGCATTACCTTGAGGACCCCATGCTGTGGGAATAATGGTGTATTCCTTATTGTGGGTACTGCAGGGTTTATATCATCAACCGTACGGTGTGGAGATGTCAGGGCATCGCTAGCAACGTGGGCAGGCCAAGCAGCGGTCAGCAGTGGCAGCAACATAAATCTAGCTTCTGCATGTGCATGTTGTGTCTTTCAGTTACTGAGAAGGCCTGTGTTACCCTTATCCCCTTTTTGGGGACCCTCATTTCTTTGGCTTAAAGCGCCAGAGTAAGGAATGTACCATAGTTCTCATAGTTTGGGGTCGTGAAGGTTATGCAGGATTTGCATCATCAACCGTAGTTTACAGTACGGTATCTTCGGCTCGCTTCAGCTCACAGGCGAACAGATTCGCTCTGAATGCTTCTGCGGCACTACCTTAAACGGCCTAAGGCTCAGATGCAGTTCTGATTGCTGGGTCTGCATAGCTGTAACCATAGGCCCCATAGTAGTTCCTTTTTGGGATTACATTATAGGGTTCTAAATATGACTCCCCAAAAGGAACTACTATGGGGCCTTTGGGTATATGCACGAAGCATATCCAGACACGCTGGTATCAGGAGACATGTTTTTGTCTTCCCAAGCACCTCACGGACAGAGACAGTGACAGAGACTGAGGGGTGTTAGGTCAGGAGGCTCTGGTAAGTGTACTGTCCAGATACTTGCATGCTTGCATGTTGCAGTATAACTGAAGGAGGTTGCATTGGGTCCCCAGCAAGTACTGCGGCATGTCTGTGTACCTAGATGTACGCTTATTTCGCTGTCTACAACATTGTGGGATGCGCCGTCAGCCTCCCTTGACTTTGCTGTTCAGTTGCACATGCCCGACTGTTCATAGTGGGCATATGCATACGAAAGAATACATGTACATCTGCAAGGGAACACTGTACCACCAGCCTTCGATCCTTCTTTGCCTTTATCTGTTAAGGGCACATACATAATCACATACCTACCTACATACATACACACGCAAACATACATGTAGGCGTGCATACCTACCGCTATGTAGGGCTCAACGTATCTCTACTCCCAGGGAATTGCAGACGCTACTCCCTCGAGGAGCTGCATCAGTTTCTTGTGAGGTAGGAGCTGACTTGGAGCAGCGTTGGAAAAGGATCGCGAGTCGCCCAGCTTCTGCCTAGGCTCTAGATCTCAGACCCTGAAGCCCTAGACCCTAGACCGAAATCCTAAAAAACCTTAAACCGTTGACCTGAAATTTGAAATGCTACTAAGCCCTAAACCCCTAAACCCTAAACCCTGAACCCTAAACCCTGAACCCCAAACCCTAAGAGCTCCAACCTATGGCCCCCTGGAGCCTTCGACGCTCAACTCAGGGAACAGCCGCCTGCAGATTCGGAGCTTGGGGCTTGCGGTTTCGGGGTCCGGGTCTAACACAGGGGCCTGAAGGGCTAGGGCTGGGGCTCCTTAATAAGGGGTCGCTTGAGGGTTCTGCAATCCTAGGCCCTAAAAACCCTAAACCCCTAAACCCCTAAACCCCTAAACCCTAAACCCGGATTTGGGGATGATCAGCTCATATTCTCACGCTGCATCTTTTGAGCCCTGGAGCCGCAAGCTCGTCAAGGCATCGTCTGGAAAGCCTGTAGGAAGAGAACTATATAAGGGTTCAGGGTTTGGGTAGAGAACCATAAGGGGACTACTGGGGGGGCACCTTCACAAAAGTTGCCGTAACAGGAGACCTATAGTGGTTTGGTGTCTTCTGATTTGGAAGGAATAGCCGACAAAACGAGCCTTTATTCTCAAGGGTTTTCATTGAGGAAGCCGATCAACGCCCAAAAGCCTTCAACCTACCCGACCTACCCCCAAATCTTAGCCCCAACTTCCCTCATGTAGCACTCTTCTTAGGGGTACTTAGAAATAATTTTTGATTTTTGGTTACTGTAGTATAATCCCAAAGAAACAGCTAAACTGATAGTCTTTGCTAGGGTTCTAAGTTCAGTATAGTCTTGGCACCCCATGATCTTACCAGTCATATCACCCTTGTAGAACGTCAACCCTGGTACTTAGTAGATCCCAAGTCCGAAAACCCGAACCACCCGCTTATGAACCCTAGAAAACCCGGATACACGCACATAAACCGCCACACGCTAATATACACTAACCCTATGGAAACTTTACATGACTCTAACTCCCATGTTCTAAATCACGAGTTGGCAGTCTGGCGGTTTAAGGATCGGTTTAGGTTTGAGGGTTTAGGAAACCCGGTTTAGGGTTTAGGGTTTAGGAAACCCTAAACCCTAGACTAGTGTCCTCGCTCTCCCTCGCAATCATGTCTAAGGCTCCTGGACAAACTCCTATGAAAACTCATAAACCCTTGTATAACTAAACTCCTTATGACACTAGTAAATAAATATAAATAATTAGATAAACATATATATGTACACTGTATTTATATATGCATGTGTATATACTCTCTCTCTCTCTCTATATATATGTATATATATATACTGTATATATATATATATATATATACACTGTATGTATATATATATATATATATATATATATATAATTATATAAATTAGATTTTACACATACCCACCTTTAGAGATTATGGCACGGTTCCTCGGACCCGAAGAACCCCAACGACCGAGGCGGCAATCCGCCGCACGACGCTGGCGCGGACGTTTTGTCCTCTTTTCATGGGCCAGGGGCCCAGTGGGTTTCTAGGGGTTTATCGGGTTCCTTTAAAGGTTAAAGGGATCCTTAAGGGTTCCGAAAAGGGACCTATAGAGATTTAGGTTTGGGGCTTTAGGGTTTTAGGGTTTGGGGGTACCTATAGTCTGCGTTGTAGTTCCTTTTGTTTGGTTAACCAAACACACATTTATGAGATCCTTGCCATATAAACGGTTAACCAGAAAAGGAATTATGACGGAGACTATAGGTGGGTTTTAGGGCTTAAGGGTTTTAGGGCTCGGGGAGTTCAGGGCTTGGGGTTTATAGTTTGCTCAAGGCCAAGTTTGGGGCCTACAACCCATAACGTTCCGGGGTTTAGACTAGAGGCTGAGGGCTGGGGGTATGGGTCCCAATTTTAGTGGGTTACCCTAACGCTCGCAACGGCACGAGCACCTTGAAAGTGTAGGTTTTCAAGGCGATACAACCCCACATGACGACTTTAAAGCACATTACTTGGAGGTTCATGGGTAGTTATAAGTGGGGGTATAAGTATGGTAACTATGCTTATAACTCATATTCGGGGACTTATAACCCTACTTATAATTACCCATGAACCTCCAAGTAAGTATCATGAAGAGCAACCCATAGGGGCTCCTATACTAAGCACGAGCCAGTTTTTGGAGTCTACAGGGAACTCCAGAAAGTTGGAATCTGGTTTCATGGTAGGATACCCTATAATTTACCATAGAAGGGTTAGGATAATCATATTCCAACTTTCTGGCTTCTACCTTACGGTTTTCGATTTTCGGGAAGTTCAGGGTTTAGGGTTTAGGGTTCAGGGTTTGGGGTTTAGGGTTCAGGGTTTAGGGTTTAGGGTATGCTTTTTTCGAGGCCCTTGTGTTACAGAGCCTTACACTTTGAGGTTGAAGGCTCGCGGCTGAGGGTTTAAAGGTTCCTCTCAAACTCTCAACTGCACTGAACTCCAGGACATCAAGGCAAAGCATGACCTGGACCTGATCTAGTTCAGTGTTGGGGTAGGACTAAAACTGAACATTTCTGTTCTTATTGGGTTTAAGTACCCATAAAAATATGAAATGTTACCCAACTATGACAAAGTGATGGCGCTGCACACTTTCACCCTTTTTCTCCCCCAGTTTTTCCGGACCCACCCCGAACCGGAGATCTCCAAAGCAAGTTCTGCCCGAAGGCGTGCACGGAAATCCCGAAACTGCTAGGCAGACGGGGTTCCCTCAATGATATTGGTGGCGAAACTGGAAGCTTGCGCTTCAATTGAAGATTCGTAGCAGTATCTGAGTTTCCGGGCCCAATGAACTCTGAACCTCAAACCCAACAGCCTCGGGAACCGAAAACTCCACAAGCCTCCTATCCCTAAGGGTCCATGCAATAGTATGGTGTATACTTTTGGGGCCCAGAACACCTACTAAGTACGTAATAGAATGGTAGTTGGACCCTTTGGGTATCACGGTTACCCTAAAACCCGAAACCCTAATTAAACCCTATACCCTGAACCCGAAACCCTAAACCCTAAGTCCTAAACCCGAAACCCCATTCCCTGGACCCTAAACCCTATACCCTAAACCCTAAGTCCTAAACCCTAGGCTCCCAGAAGGGCTCCTATCAGCCTGGAATGGTCCTAAACCCTAAACCCTCAACCCTGAACCCTAAACATAGTAAATTGGGCCCCAAACTGCGACCCCCAAACTGCATAACCCAAAGGCTCCATGTGCTTGTGTACCCATATAATACGGTAGGTACTTAGGCCTTAAAAGGGTTCACTTCAAGGCCTACGTGAATACTATATAGGTACATGGAGCATTAGGGAACAGAATCGGTTGAATAGCTTTGCACACCGCAGAAGCCCCGATTGGATAACCCTCAATCCGAGTATAGGGGCCATTGTAGTTCGTGTAGCCTTATGTAGAATGGGTAGACCCTAAACCCCTAAACCCTAAACCCTAAACCCCCTAAACCCTAAACCCCTAAACCTTCGTGAGCCCTGTACTGTAAGCCAGGTCGGATCCCATGCCTGAGCCATGCATACAAGCATACGGGGCTTGACAGCCACTTGGGGGTTTCTACCTATGTACATTATTTTGGGGCTCCTTATTATAGTTATAGTATGATGGGCCTCAGAACCCTACTCTAATTATTAAGGCTTTTACATTAAATCTCTGCGGGCCCCCTGGGGAATACTTTCATCCTGAGCCTTTACATTGCAGGATTTCTGAAGGTATTTCATCACAAACCTCATAAGCACCATTCACTGAAAGAAGCACTAGAGCTCTAAAGGATGAATAAGCTAAGCCCGGACCCGGAACCCCTAACCCCTAACCCTTACTTGGAGGGTCGGGGGACTTAGTAAGTAGTTATTTTCGGGACTTATAAGTACCATAACCCCAATTAGGGTCCCTTTTAGGGTACTTTTAAGTCTACTTACTACCTACTTACTAAGTCCCCTAAAGACCCTCCAAGTAACCCCTAAACCTTAAACTTCCCCAAACCCGTCCTCGGTTCAGCCTTCTACCCAGAGGCCCCAAAGTAGTTCCTTTTTGGGACTACCTTATAGGATTCTATATATGAACCCCAAAAAGGAACTACTTTGGGGCCTTTGGGTAGAGCACTTCGCCTGCAGGCTCTGCCTACAAGAACAAGGGCGTGCAGGAGAGAGATGGTGCTGCTGTGTTCGTGGAGGGTTTAGGGTTACGGGGCTGTGGGGTTGGGATTACATAAATGCTGAAACCCCAACCCCCAATTTCGCCGATTCAGAGCGACCAAAATCAACGTTTTGTTGTTTGATGTTGAGGGCTTACGGACACACGGTTCAGGGCTACAGTGTGTAAATAGAAGTCCTAATAACAACAATAACGATATTCAGAACAAGAAGATAGCATCTTACAGCAGCAGGGTTAGAGGTCCCTGGCTTTCTCAAGCTAATTTTGCAGCAGCGAGCTTCGTGAAACTAGGAGTATGTTGTGGGGGGTCTTTCTATTAGGCTCCATTAGGCTAGGGCTAACCTATTCGGCCTGTGTTTTTTTAGTTTCGTCCCGTGTTAAGTTTGGAAGCTCTCAGAAAGCCTCCGGTGCAAGATACAAACTGAGCGACGAAAGAAGTCTTCGTATTCTCCGAGCTCTGTAGGTTGGCAGCATGTGCGGTATGGGGATTCTAAGGTTGATGCGGTACAGGGTCCTGGAGTTCAGGGTTTAAGGGCTTAGGGTCTGGGGGCTTTAGGCTTTTGGGGCTTTGCTTGAAGACTCAGCAAATTTAGTATGACTTGCCTCGGGATGCAAGTATTCTAAGGCTTCTAAGCCCTGCAGTGCACGCTAGAATCCCTATATACTCAAACGAGATTCAATAAACGAGGTTCCCCAGTAGTACCCTGTTGGCATTTTGAATCTTGGGGCTCCCGAAAAAAAAGCCAAAGGGAACCCCTCTTCCTCGGGGGGAACCTAGAAAACGGAGGGCGCAGCTTTTTGCTAAAGTGACCAAATCACTCCGAATCCCACACACACCCCGTCCCCGAAAAGGACCTCTTGGACGGCATTTGCCGGTACTTGCCGAAGACTGAGTCGACTTACAGTTAATGCTATCCCCAGTCCCGTTGGCATGGGTCTTGTGTTCATTGTTGCTCTCAGTACTTTCTTCACACTGATTGCACGTTCGCCTATTGGTCTTGAGTCTTGGTCATCATCCACAGCCAGTTGTGGCTAGTGTGTCCTGCGTCTCCGTGTATCACCAGTAGGTCTGGCTCCTGTGCGTACCGCTATGGTTATCGCGGATGCTATGACCAGCAGCCGACGACACGGTTGAACAAGCCCAGAGGATCTGCATGTCAGAGATGCATTTCTGCCATTCGTGTGCCTTATTATCTATCTCAAACCACTATAGACCTTAACCTCTAAATACTCCTTAACCCTAAACCAAAAATAAACCCGAAATCCTAAAGCTTAATTGGCTCCAATCCTAGACTAGACCCGGACCCAACTTAAAACTATACTGATCTTCTTTGGGTCCAGGGTTTAGGTTTCCTCCAACTTAGCGGCTCAATTCTCTGGAGTCCTTTTCGACGGATCCTGCGGCTTAGCGTCTTTATTTGGGGTGCACAGTAAACCCCATAAAGTCGGAAACCGGACTAGGGCCAAATAGTGCTGGGATTCCCTAAATACATTACTCCTAAAAATTGAGGCTATAGGGTTTCCAACTTTTAGGCTTCTACGGTAGAGGTTTCGGGCTCGTAGTAGTTTCGGTTCGATTTCGAACGCTGGAAAGTTGGAATATGGGAGTTTCCGAATAAAGGGGACCCTAATATAGTACCCCAAATAGTAGGATCCTTATTATAAGGACCCCAAAATAAGGTACCTCTAATTTTCGGAAATTCCCATATGGGTCTCGATGATTGTGGGCACACAGAGCCCGTACAGAACCCTTTGTACATCCCTTAGAGCCCTATCCCCCAAACCCTCAACGCCACACTCGGAGCCTTGAGCATAAACCTTAAATCCTAAATCCTACAATCTGAACTCCTAAAACCCCAAGCCCTATCCCAAAACCCTTAAACCCCAAATTCGAAAATCCTGAATCTTGAGCCTAAGCCCTACATCCTGCACTCTGAACCCTTTGATGAAACCCTAAGCTGTGAATCCCTCACCCCGAAGCCGGGGTTGGAGCCCAGGCCGTCCCCACTGGATCGAAAGAACACAGCCCGGGGCTTAGGTCAGGCGTGTCTTAGGGGTACTTACAAATATGTTCTATAATTTGGTTCCTATAATCCCTAGAAATAATTACATTTTAAGTTTTGGCTCCTATAACCCCGAAGAGACAGCTAAAATCATATTTATCTTCGCTAGGGGTCTGAGTTCAGTAGACTCGACGTGTGGCGCAGGGGCGTGCGTTTTTGGAACTATGAAAGAGCATAAGCCGGAAGACACTAGCGAGCTTGTTGAGGGTCCGAGGTTTAAAAGGGAATGGGGTACGTCTGAGGCTGGCTTGGACCTTAAGTTCGAGAGCTTTGCTGACATCAACTGCGATTTAAAGGGGTTCTGGTGATTCTGGTCTGGGGCTTAGGGGATGGCTGTATATAGCTGTGAGGTTTTGGGGCGTTTGCATCGTACTGGGCAGTTGTGTTGATACCACTTTTTGCAGAACTTAGCATCTTGCTTAAGGGTTCCTAAACCCTAAACGGTTCGCAGCCCACTTCGTGCACCTAAAGGTTTGCCCTTCACTGAGGTGTTCAGAGTTGTTGCTTGGGGGCCTGGTTTAGGATTTGAGGTTTTGGGTTGTGGCTTTAGGGTTTTGGTTTTTAGGGCCAAGTTTAGGGTTTAGGATTGCAATGATATGCCGATGATGACTACTGCCCGGGGTTGTCATTGCTTTTATGGGGCTGTTCTTGTCGGAGAGCTACTCTTGCGGACTGCAGAAAGATGACTCGGATATAGGACCTGCAATACTGGGTAGGCCTTTGGGACATTTTATATTTTCCCTTATTGGGCTTAATAGGACCCTATTTACGAATATTTGTCAGAGGCTTTAAGGGGCCAACCTAGAATATCTTTCCCTGCAGCAACGGTGGCACATCAGAAGCTCCTCGGCTCCAGAGCTTGTAAGCTTCATGCGGTGTCTTTCAGATTTCAACCATCCGAGGTTAGCTGGGCGGATCTTTACAGCTAAGCTCTCTTAAAGATTTGGGTCTCTCGATGTTCAGGCTACCCGCGCGTGAAATGTGAAATAAGAATCGCCTTACCCATGGAACACATTGGCAACAGTGGTTCTAGATAGCTAGAGCTACTATCATACCAGTGCTGTATGAAGCTATCTTTCATGAGGGCATCACAGTCACAGTCTGCTGTCAGAGCAAGTTAGTCAGGTGAAGTGATTCGACACTTAAGCTGGCGTTTGATTTCCGCTGCCTCTCCTTGGCCTGGGTTTAGGCTTTAGGGTTCAGGGTTTAGGGCTTAGGGAACCGAAACCCTGAACCCTAAGCCGATCTTGCAACAGCCATGCGCGCACAGCGCCTGGTGACAATCTGCCGTCTCCGGGCTTTCTCCCTTCAGGCACCCGCATGTAGATCCTCTACCTTGGATGCTGTGAAAGGACCCCACACCCTCAGCCCTTGCTTCCCATGCGTTTCCGATTTTTCTACCGTTTGGTAGGGTGACAGATGTTCGGTTAAAGGACTTTCCGTAAAGATTAAAGATTGTACGTCCGAGTCGCTGGTGAAACATCTGGGCTTTGGGCTTCGTTGTGGGTTTGAGTTCGGTGTTCAAATCCTAAACCCTAAACCCTGTCATTGGGCCGCAGTTGCTAAGTCAGGGGCTTGCAAACTAGTTACACTTCGGGGCGCTGGGAGGATCTCATATCCAGCTTAGCGGTTTAAACGGTTTAAGCTTAAGGTCTGCATGGGGTCCAAGGAGTTCAAGGGTTTGGGGTTTAGGGCTGCATGGCACGCGAGACATGCGACGCTAAATCCTGAGCCTGACGCCCTCACGCAGGGTGCTGCCACCCGGCCTTGCTTGCGTCACAGCCAACTTCCAAGCCTTGTGTGGGACCTAGATGCTTGTTTGCTGTTTTTGGTTGGCTGGGTTTAGGCGGTTTAGGGGCTTATAGGCGATAGTCTAAGGAGGTCTGGTTGGTTGGAGAGTGTTTGGGGTACAGAGTTTAGGCTTTGGTTTAGGGCTTTGCGGGCTAGTCCCACTGCGCCTAGGAACAATAACGGCACAGAGGCGACGTGGTGTTTGCGGACTAATGACGACCTAGAGAGTGGAGAGTCACACCCTGCCCCCTTGTTTGGGGTGCACCTACTCGTCTATATAACACATCCTAACCATAAAGCCAGGGTACCCTAAAAGCCTAAAAGGGGTAGGGTATGACCCACTAGGTATAGTACGACACGGGCAAGAGTTCGCTGGATCGAGGCGATTCATGTTGCGCAGCCTTGGCATCTGATGCTTCAAACGTAAATCCGGCTAGATACCTCAAATCAGCAAGCCTAAACCCCAAGCGGTTCTTGAATGAATATGCTAGACCACAGTTCAGACCTCATGCTTCAGATCTGAATTTGGAGTTCCAGGCTTCATGTCAGAGGTTTTGGGGTTAGGGCTTCATGCAGATCTAAGAACAGACTGTCCCTTGAAGTTTATACCCCTCTTGTACACTGAGGTTGCTACACTGCACTGACACCAGCAAAATTCACAAACTCTAAATCGCAAGCATGCTGCTTTGGGTTTTTGCCTCCCAAAGAAGGCCGTGCCACAGCGCAGCTTCGCAACGGGACGTGGAGACGTCGAAGGCGGGCGGCCGTCGTTCAGAACACTGTGCGACATGTATCCAAGCCCTACACAGCTTCTGCAGTGCCCAAATCCCCTTAAGTTCTTTAACCTGACGGTTTGCCAGGCTTGGAGCAGAAGGGTTTGGGGCAAGGCTTCAGAGCACGATATAGTGTGGCCTCAACATGTATGACTACGTGCTAGTTATTCCTTCAGACTTCTAGATGTCGTATAATTAATCTACTCCGAAGCCCTTTTCTGAGATATATACTATTCGATAGATAGCCCAGCTGACCCCATGTCCGAGAAAGCTCCTAAACCGCGCACGTTGGACCCTGTAAGAGGTTTCGGTTCCAGCATGTACAGTTTAAAGTTTCAAGATTTAGGAATTCAGGTCACCCTAAAACCCTAAACCCTAAACCCTAAACCCTAAACCCTAAACCCTAAACCCTAAACCCCAAAAACTCAGGCTCAAGCCTTGAAGCCTCGCGTTGCGGTACGAAGGTGGATCAGCGGGCATCAGCGAGACTGAGTTTCATGCACCTGGCTCAGTCACGGTTTGGGCGTTTGCATCCGGAATTCGGTTTTGGTAAACCTATGGGTTTAGGGTTCAGCTAGAGCGTCCAGGTACCCAAGTCGAGGGTTCTGGGTCCCGAATATGTTGCTCTATCTGCTTGCTAGTACTGCTAAAGGGAACTCCAGAAAGTTAGAATATGGATTAATGGTAGGATCCCCTATAATTGACCTTGAAGGGTTTAGGATAATCATATTTCAACTTTCTGGCTTTTACTTTACTGCTACTGTTTGGGCACTTGGACCCTCGGGGGGTCTTTGGCGCTCCAAGGAAGCCACCGCTGCGGATGGCAATGTGGGGGTTTCCGAAAACAGGGATACCTTATTTTGGGGTCCTCACAATAAGGATCCTACTATTTAGGGTACTATATTAGGGTCCCCTAATTTTCGGAAACTCCCATGTCTGTGACTTTTAGGAACCCCAAGAAACACATAAGCATAAGCATTTTATGGGGATATCCCTACCTTATTGGGCTTATAAAGGTGTTTACATGGGATATTTTACATGGGATATCCCTACCCTAAAGTTTGCTTATGTGCTTTTTTTGGGCCCTCAGAAGATTGGAGTCGGATTTTGGCCGCAGAACTTGGGAGTCGTACCCGGTCGTACCCTCTAGCAATAGCAATTACCCAGAGGCCCCATAGTAGTTCCTTTTGGGGTTCATGTTTAGAATCCTATCAGGTATTTTCCAAAAGGAACTATTTTTGGGCCTATGGGTAGGCACTCGGTTTTATGATGGGAATGACTCGTTTATTGTGTAGCTTACTGAAGCCATTGAAACCTCCAAGCCTGCCTAAACGGGCCTAAACTCAGGCGAAGCGCCAATACCCAAAAGCCTTATCCCTGTCTACCCTTACGATAGCCCGCATACCTCGAGTAACGATTTCTCAACAACTCTACAAAAGGGGTACCAATGTTTACTTGGGGGGGGTTCTGGGTCAGGCACCGGAATCTTATGGCTTGCACGATGCCAAGTTTTGGGCCGGACGTGGGCACAGGTGTAAAGCAGAGCGATCCGTGAATGTACGCTAGGCCCTAGGCCCCAGGACCATGCTTTGGCCAGAAGAGACCCGCAACCCTAAAAATCCGAAACCCTGAAATCCTGAAAACGCGAGATGTCTTTGGACCCAAAGCCCACAAAGTGGTCAGCCTCCCACGAACCCATACTTTTTGATGCTGTTTAATTAATCTTTCTGCTTCCGTCATTTTTCATTTTTCTATATTGTTAATAAATCTTAACAATAACAATATCAAGCCGTTTGAGGCAAAGGCCGACGTGTCTCTACAGGGCATGCACGATGCCGTGGATGCTGGCAACCTGGACTCCTGGGTTTGCAGCTATGGGCCTGTATTTGTAAGGTTCCGAAGATAAGGGTATCCTGTCTAGAGCTCCCTGCAATATGTGTCTTGTCCTTCAGGGTTCAGGGTTCGCCATGCACAGGTTTCAGGTCAAGAGTTGGAGGGATCCAGGGTCCTCGCTTTTAGGATTTTTGGTCTGGGGCTTGCAGGATTACGTGTTATACTTAGAGGCCCAGGGACTTGGTAAGTAGGTTGTAAGTAGAGCTACAAGTGCCCCTAAATGGAGTTACCCCAGTTATAGCCCTACTACTTATAACCGACTTACTAAGTCCCCTGGGCCTCCAAGTAGACCCTAAACCCTAAACCCCATAGATCCCTTTAAGGAGCCCTATAGATCCCTTTAAGGAGCCCTCTATATCCCTTTAAGGAGCCCTTTAAAGAACCCTTGCTACTTCCCAGCGTTTCGGCTTCAAGGCTTTGGGCTCGGGTTGCGTACGGCTTTTGGCTTTGTGGGTCGGCGGATCTTGATTTGGGGCTCTCGACTTCCCAGGGTTTAGGGTTGAGG